GGAGCCAACTGGGTATGAACTGAAACCTCCAAGAACTGTAAGAAATAAACCTTTCCTTTCATAATTTTGGGTGTCAGGTATTTTGTCTCAGTGACAAGCAAAAAGTAACTAAGACAGAATTTGGTATCAGAGAAGTGGGGTCGTTGCTGTGACTATACCTGACCATGTGGTTTGAGAGCTTTTGGAAATGGCTTGAGAGCAGAGTTTGGGAAGGTTCGGAGATGTCACCTAAATGCACAGAGCTGGAACAGCTTAGGCTGTTCTGTAGAGGACATTCTGGTCAGAGCTCAGGAGAGTAGAAGGTAGAAAAAAAAACCTGACAGTAAAGACCAGGCTCAGGACTGCATTGGTTGTTGGACTCCAGTTGATATATGTTATGGCTTGGCAGGAAGTCTGCATTTTGCTCATGTCCTGAGACTTTGCCTGAGACTAAGATTAAGGGCAATGGAATGTAATCTGGAAGAAGAAATTTCAAGGCAGCCAAATGCTGAGACTGTGGCATGACTACTGTTGGGAGATCTTAGTCAGATTTATGTTGCAAATCAAGGGCAAAGAGCCCAGCAGGATAATTTAAAATGCTGTGAGTTTGGCCAGAAGGAAAACTCCAGTAAAGCTGTGGATTTTAATAAGTTGAGACTTCAATTGCTGAGAAGGAACAGAGAAATAAAAAGATAGCCAGGGGGCATCCTAGGAAGCAGTGGGTCTTATCCTTTGCAGCCTCAAAACTGCAAAAGTGAAAGGCTTTGCTCAGAGGAGAAAGCTGCAGAGCACTATGCTCCAGAATGGCGATGGAGGTCACATGAGGTTCAAAAATGGCGACAGAGGCCACACGCCAACATGGCAGCAGCCACCCCAGGTTCCAGAATGGCAGCAACATAGAGAAGCTTTTCCTCACAATCAGGTTCACAGAGCCCAGTGATCCAGGCACTCGACCCCTACTGCCAAGAGAGAAAGCCTGGCTACTGCTCCAGCTGGCAGTAAACCTTGGTGGCATCCACATGGCGCTGATTTTAAGTTCAAGGAAAATGCACACATTCTGAGGGTAAGATGGCTTCCATCCTGATTGCAAAAAGCCTGGGAGACCAAGTAGTGTGCCTTGAGAGGGCAATATGTAAAGATGTAAGGGTGAAGCCAAAGGTGCAGTGGAGACCCAGAAGTTTAGAAAAGCCAGGAATGTGGATCATCTAAGGAAAAACTGAGCAGAGGGGACTTAAGAAAGAAGCTACTGGAACTCAAATACCTGGAAGTGCCGTGGGGGTGGAATCACCCAAGCCTTCTGGAGCTTGCAACCAGACTGCTTCAAATGCTGAGCCTGGAACTCTAGGACTTTATGTTCACCCTGCTGGATGTTGGACTTGCTTTGTTTCCAATGCTCTGTATTCCCCGTTTGTAACTTTTGGAATGGTAATGTTTATCTTGTGCCTTTGCATTTTGGAAATGTTTAACCTTGTTTCATTTGTACAGGGGGTTACAGTTAAAGAGTTTTCCACAGATCTCAGAGGAAACTTGGGACTTGAACTTTTCAGCAATGCTGAACCTGTTAGGACTTTGGCAACTCTTGGAGATGGACTAAATGTTTTTTTGTATAAAAGATGTACATGAGTCTTTGGGGGACAGGGGTGGGATGTCACAGTTTATGTCACTGGCCCCCAAGCCTCATTTAATTATGGACTCGACCAAATCTAGCATTTGCTTGGTGCTATGAGTGCTACACCCACCCAGGGGTGGAGCCATCATACAATATAAAGGTGGGAAGAAGGTGTGTGTGTCTCTCTCTCTTTCTGGTTAGTGCCTTACTATTTGCAGTGGCCATGAATGGCTGCCCTGCCATGCCACGCTGCCTTGGAGCCAACTAAGTATGGAATGAAATCTCCAAGAACTGTAAGAAACAAATATTTCCTTCCCTAGCTTTGGGAGTCAGGCATTTTGTCTCAGCAACAAATAAAAAGTAACTAAGCCCCCATACCGATAAAAATGAAAAAAAAAAAAAAAAAGGATAAAAAAAAAAGTAACTAAGACACAACCCAAAGCAGGGGGCTTGCTTTCAGGGTTTTTTTTGTTGTTGTTGTTGTTGTTTTTTTTTGGTATCAAGAATAATTCAAATAATAGAGCTTTCACAGGAACAATAATAGTTTGGGGGAGAAAGTATAAATAATCAAAGGGCTATCTCTAAGAGAAAAAAGCAAACACGATCTTTATTTCTTAGGGGACAGGGACAGTAAACCATAGAGCAGACCAGAGTGCAGATACCACCAGGAATTCTGCAGATACCATAAAAGTTAATGATACAAAAACTTATGTCAAAATTAAAAATGGACCCCTCACCTACTAGAACAAACCTCACTGGGGGGAAAGTGATCTGAAGCTGCTGATCAACAAGGCCATCCTGGTAAGCTAGGTAAGCAACCACTAAAAGAGCGCACTATTCTTCTGTAAAGGCAAATAGACCAAATCAGCACTTCTCAGTAAACAACTCTACTCTGCAACAATCACTGTAAACCTAAACACTTAAAAGAAAAGCAATCTCTCCTTACAGGGCGGAATCCAGGAGGTGGCAGAGTGGTGAACAGCAGAAAAACCGCCTTTCTGAGCTTTACTGCCCAATGCTGGGAAATGGCAATGTGAGGAACAGGGAAGTGGGTCTCCAGGACCCGGGAAGGACCTGAAGTGAAAACTGAAGCCCGTGGGGACAATGAAGAGAGAGACCTCAAAACAAAAAGAGACGGCAAGGATCAATTTGTCCCTGAGCCCTGACTCACCATGAGGGAGGGGCAACTTGAACTTTCAGACTTATTGTGACTATAGGCAACACCAGAGGCCTCCAAAGAGCAATGCACCAGTGGAATGGAGCAGTGGATGCCACGGACTGCAGTGGCTGGTGAGTTATTTGGGTTCAGGTGTTCTGCTAGAAAGGACAACAGGCCAGTAGCCATCTTGGGGGAGAGGCCAACCGAGCTCAGAACAGCTGAGGGCTTGGCTCCAGTTCGTGGCTCCCAGTGTCGGGGTGAAGCTTCTGAGTTCAAATGGAAGGAGGTCAAGGAGCTAATTCAGGCTGCAGGGAGCGGGGCTTAAGCCTGCAGGAGACACATGCAGGGCTGCAAGCGGAACAAACTGCATTTCAATCTCACATCCAGAACTAGTAGAACTAAAGGTGCAGGCTTTCGAGGATTATCCACTACCCCACCATAAAGCTACAGCTGGCTTGCTGGGATTAATCAAGAAGGATCTGGGGGCTCGGTCTGTCTAATCTATCAGTGACAGCAGAGACACACCTTAAAGTGGGCTTTTTTTTCCCCTCATTTCTCCTTTTGTCTTTTCTCGTTTGTTCTTATTTTTATGAGTGTGAACACTGTTTCTAGTTTTTTTGTTGTTCTGTTCTGTTCTTGTCTTTATATCTTTCTTCTCTCTTTCCCTCCTACTTTCTCGTTTCCCAAAGTTTGCACAATCTTCCTTTGTGGTCCATTCTTGCTTCTTACCTCTTCTTTTTCTTCCATTTCTCTATTTTCTCCCCTCACCCTTTTAAATTTTTTCCCAAGGGTAAAATCATCATATTGAGTTTATTTACTGCATAAATATTCTGGTCTGTTTAGATTTTGTTATATAACCATAAACACAATTTATAGTTACCACAGTTTGTCATTTTTAGGCTGTGTTTGATGCTGTTATTGCTGACTGTACTACTTTAACCAAGATGATATAACTGTTCTAATCAGTTTTTCTTCCTGGTGCCAAGACTGAGACTACCTAACGATCAAAATCAGTACTACAGGCCCGTGCCAAAGAACCAGGGGCTGGGCCAGGTAGGTGGCAATTTCTCATTCCCAATAAATTGAAGAAGTAGGATCCCACAACAGACTCAAAATTCAAAAGCCATCTACACCTGGAAGACATCTCTGGCAAGGAATCATTTTCTAAGGGTTCTAAATACTAGCAATAAGCTACTTGCCATAAGCAATCTACAAGGATTAACCCAGGAATTAAAAAAAGACTGTAAAGACATTTAAGCAAATGCAGTATCAGACTTCGAGCTCACCAAAGACAAAGCCAGGGGGCAATGAGGTGGGACACCTGGAAAGCCGCCCGCCTTGATGCTCTGAAATGGTAACAACAGAAGTAGCAGAGCAGATGAATGAGGCTCTAGAAAAAAAAATCAGAAATAATTTCTCAGATAACTACACAGATGGTGACTTGATGAAAGACTGGATTAGTGTCTGACTCTGGAGCAGACACAAATAAAAAAATAGAGGAGTTTAGGAAAACGATGGAAACCATGCAACAGATTCAAGCAGATCTCCAGGAGACTGAAAAGTCCAGTGAAAGTGTGTACAGCAGAATGAGCCGATGTGATGACAGAATATCAGACTCAGAAGACGGGATCGTGACTAGTGATCATGAAAAGAAATATTTACTCCCTAAAAATCTTAGGGGAGAATTTCTCTGGCAAGTGTGCAGCCACGGCCCTTATTTATCTCCTTCTCTCTGCAAAGCAGAAGAAAGTATTAGATGAGGGCTGGGGAGGAGGGCACAGAAACCAATTCAATGACCACTTAGCTGCCCCAAATGTTCAGGAGGAAACAGAGGTAGCCACACATAAGGTTGCTCTTAAGTTTCTTTCTAGGAGTGCTCCACAGTGGCAGGCTGGCGCGTTGGTGTACGGTGACAACCTGAAGCAGCATTTGTAGAGTAATTTATATAAAACGCTGTCAAAGCCAGCTGTCCACCGAGAGGCTTCCTAGACCCCAAGTAAATGTCTAAAGCACCTAGCCTCCCAACTTGGTGCAGCAGACAGAACACAAACTTTGGTCCGGGAAGCATCAGTTTTTATCATCAGTTCGTTTCAACTCAAAGATGTGTAAGAAGTAAAAGGCCTCACTATAATCAAGAGTGTCCTTTGAGAATGGCACACTGCCTTCCGATTATCAAAGATGCTTTCTGCTTGCTTCTCTGGGAGCTCTCATGGCTCAGGCAATGAAGGCACATCCACCCCTACAGGTACCTACCTTTTCTGGCAGCCTCTGGTGTATGGGAAAGTCTCTCCAGCTGGGTGGCAGTCAGAGGTGGGGAAATGGGCTTCCTCTCCAGAGCCTCTTCCTCCTGCTCCCTCTTCTGTCCCTTCCTTTCATCTGGGGGTGGTGGTGAGGGTGGCTGGGGATCCCTGCTCTCCTGGCTCTCTTTGGGAGGCGGGCTGGGTTCTGAATCAGGCTTCCCGGCCCTACGGGCCAGGAGCTCTACCAAATATGGCCGGCTGAGCTTGGTGAGAGGGGATGGCGGTGGGGCGTGGCCAGCAGGCTTGGGCGCCAGGGCTGGCTTCTGCACCGGGGTTGTTCTGCTTGCTGCCTTGTCCTGCTCTGCAGCTGGGGCCTGGCTGCTGGCTGGTGGGGGACTGGGGTGGGCTCCAGAGGGGTGAGTGCCTGCGGAGTCCCTGCGGGGGGCCGGGGCCTGCTTCCTGTCCTGGGGGAGCGCTGGGCTTGGCTTGGCTGCCCTGCCCTCCGTTTCTCTCTCCGAGGGACTGTCCACACTGTCTCCCGTGCTGCTGTGTCTCTTTTTCTTCTTCTGTTCCGCCTGCTGGTCGCAGTGAAAACGCAGGGAGTAGTTGGTCCTTCTCAGTTTTATTCCAAAAGGGGTAGATTTCTCCTCTCCACCTGATGTCACTAGGTCTGGCTTGGCTGTGCCACTTGCGCTCTCGCCATCCAAGGAAGTGGTGGGTTCAGCATGGGACACTGCTTTCAGTGGAGGGGGAGGAAGACTCGGGACAAGGAAGGATGGAAGGTCTTTGGCAAATTTGCAGCCCTCCGTGGCGTCTGTGGGCTCTGGCCGCACCTCAGGCTTCTCCGGGGTCCTGAGAAACTCCTGAGGTGGAGGCCGGGGCGCTGTCTCCTCGCCCAGCCCTGGAGACGGTCTCTTGCGGATGCTGTCGGCCTCCAGGCTCTGTCTGGAGATCTCGGTGCCGGTGTCGGAGAACTTCTGCCAGGCGGGCATGATGGAGAACTTGGCGTTGGCGGGTGGTGTCCTGCGCAGGTGCCCGCGGGAGTCGCTTCGAGGCCTGGGAGCAGGCTCATCCCCCGGTCTTGACTGTTCTTTGTCCCCGCCGCGAGGCTCGCCCTCCACGTTCTTCAGGATCCGTGACCTGATTGACGCCCACTCGGCCAGGGCAGCCGAGCTGCCAGGCGGCTCCTGCAGGGGCCTGGCCTTGCCGCCTGCCCGGGGCTCCGCGGTAGCAGGGACATCCCCCGGCCTCTTCTCTTCCGACAGGCCCAGCAGCGACATGCACGCGGTGTCCTTGATCTGGTGCAGGTTTACCGCCGGGCTGCACAGCTGTGCCCCGGTGACCAGAATGGCGGTGTGTGGGACGCTCAGCGCGCGCGGCACTTTGGGCTCCTGCGCAGGAGTAACGGGGCTCAGGTTGACCTTGGGGAACAGGATCTGACGGCCGCCCGAGGACACCTGGAACGTGTAGGGCCGCGGCATGGTCTGCCTCTCTTCCACCTCCTGCCACCGCATTTCCTCCGCTTTTCTGTCTTTCTCGGGGATGGCTGATTCGCTCTTGAGCTTCTCCTCCACTGGTGCCTCCCGCTCCTGCGGAGGGTCCCCGTAGGCTGATTCTCTCTTGTCCTCCAGAACGCGTCGCTCTTCCCCGCAACAGCCTCCCCTCGTGCCCGGCTGCTCTCCGGCCGGCCTCACCTCGTGGTCCGGCAAATCCTCTGAGCTTTCTCTTCGCCCGTTAGGAGCCATGTTTTCTTGCTCTTCTTCTGGCTTCACCGAGTAATTCTGAGGACGGTCCCTGCTGTCCTCCACCTGCGATTGCGTCTCTTCTTTCCACAGCGGCGGTGCAGCCCAGGGCTCGCTCTTCTCCGCCCCTGGCCACCTCTGTGCCTCCCTCTCCTTGCCCTGCTCCAGCTCCTCTCTCCGCGGGGCCTCCTGCTGCTGTCGGCTCAGCTCCTCCAGCCGCTCCTCTTCCTCCTGCTCCTGCCTACTCTTCGCTTCCAGCTCCTCCCGCTGCTTCAGTTCCTCCTGTCTCTGGGCCTCCTCCCGCTTCCAGGCCTCCTCTTCACGCCTCTGGGCCTCCTCTTCCTGCAGCCTCCGGGCCTCCTCTTCCTGCAGCCTCTGGGCCTCCTCCTGCAGCCTCTGGGCCTCCTCTTCCTGCAGCCTCCGGGCCTCCTCTTCCTGCAGCCTCTGGGCCTCCTCCTGCAGCCTCCGGGCCTCCTCTTCCTGCAGCCTCTGGGCCTCCTCCTGCAGCCTCTGGGCCTCTTCCTGCAGCCTCTGGGCCTCCTCCTCTGCCAGCTGCTGTGCCTCCAGCTTTCTGAATTCCTCCAACTCCCTTTTCTCTTCCTGCTGCCTCTCAGCCTCCTCCCGCAGATTCTTCTGCTCCTTGGCCTCCCTGCGCTCCCGCTGCTCCTGCTCATGGCAGCCCTGCTCTTCCAGGCCAGAGCGCTGCCCTTCTTCCCAAGATGCCTTTTCAGCCTCCAGCAGCAGTGGCTCCCCCTCACCCTCCTCTTCCTTGCCCTCCTCTTCCAAGAGCTCCTGTCTTCTGTTCTCCTCCCAGAGCCTCCTCTCCAGCGCCTGCAGCCTCTGCTCCTCTAGACGTCTCTTCTCCGCAGCCTCAGCCTTCTGCTGTTTGCATTTGGCCTCCAGTTCTCGCCAGTAGTCTTCCTGGCGTCTTTTCTCTTCCTGGGCACCCAGCGGCTGTGGTTCCTCTTCATGCCAAATGTGCTTGTCTTCTCCGGGGTGCCCATTCTGGTCCAGGGAGGGCTCCAGTCCTGGCTCACTCGGTCGATCCTAACATGGAGAAGGGAAACAGTGAGCCTTCGGCTTGTTCCACAAGCAGCCCTTACTCATCCCCTTTGCAACACAGTGGTGCTGTCAATTGCAAAAGAAGGGACAGGTTCTTCCCCCAGTAAGGACAGCTCCAGGAGTCTCCGTATCTGAGGATTGGCCTCACACTTTGCCTTAGCTGCCATAAACCAAATAGTAAATGGCAAACTACAGAAATAATTCATGCATTTTTTTTTTTTTTTTTTGAGACAGGGTCTCCTATGCAGTCCAGGCTGGCCTTGGACTCACTATATAACCCAGGCTATCCTCCTGCCAAGGCCTGGAGAGTGCAGGATTACAGGCATGGACCACCACACCTGGAAATTCACACATTTAAATCATTTTCAGTATATATTGAGCATATTGCTATAGTTTTTCTGTTTATTATTACTTGTTGCTGTTAGTCTTTTACTGCACCTATTCTATGAATTAAACTTTTAAAGTATGTATGTATAGGAAAAAACAGTCTATAGCATATTCATGTATGAAGTATCAGGTACCCACTGAGAATCTCGGAAAATATCCCTATAAATAAAGAAAGAATACTGTAACAATAATATGAGGCATTGGTCATACCAAGCTAAAGTGAACTGTGGGAAGAAAGAACTTTATCTTTAAAGATATCTTTACACTTCACCCTTTCGAGACCCTTGGTTATTGTCAAATTCATGTTTTCTCCCTCTCTCTCTTTCTCTCTTTCTCTTTCTCCAAGGTCTCAACATGCAGTTCAAGATGGTCTTGAACTCACTGTGTAATCCCCAGGCTGGCCTCGAATTCCCAGCGATCCTCCTGCCTCCACCTCCCTAGTGCTAGGATTACAAGTGTGCACCACTGCACGCAGATCCTTTCTCTTAATATGAATACTAGGAAAGTGAATACCGCATCACTAAGAAGTCCACCCTAGTCCGACTGAAGGTGTTTTGGCTAAGCCACAGCAGAGAGGGGCTGGCTGGCCTTTCTACTGCAAAGCAGGCATAAAGCATGTGCAGCCCTCTGCTGCCCGCCAGCAAGGGCAGCAGAAGGTAAACGGACCTGCTGATCTGGACACACTGAAGTTCCCAATGGGGAGAGACCGCGGTCCCTCAATGGCCTCACCTTCACCAACCTAGTGGGCAGAATTAGTGCCCGGACAGCCAGGACTGGGTCTACGCACCCGGGCAAGTCGCCTGTGCTTCTTTGACACCCTCTGGTTTTTTGGCTTAACTGACAGTTTGTGCTTGGCGGCACTGTTGTCCAGGCGAGCGATGGCCAGGGGAATGGCATCGAGGTTGACACTTTCGATGGTGCCAGCAGAAGACAAGTGCCTTTTTGGCCGAGACGGTTTAACTGGAGCAGCCTGTAATGCAGATAAGATAGAAAGTCAGTCTGGACAAGAACATTGCAGGGAATCTCAGGACGGCAGTCCGCAAGTGGAGGCTGCATCTGTAGGCAGAAGGACTTGTGGGTGCCGGGAAATGAGGCCCAGCTTTAGAGTCAAGAGGGCCCAGTGTTGCAAAGTCTAAAATAATAAGTAGTTGCTGGCCCCGAGACGGCAGAACTCTGTCAGACACTGTGTACACATTCTCCTCCCACACAGGGTGTTAGTCCCTTCAGGCAGGGACGGTGTCTTAGTCATGCTGGCATCAGTAGCACATCTTATCTGGCGAGTGCTCAGTCCATACTTGTTAAAGGGATGAAAGTACGAAACCTCTAAGCCTAGAAGAGGAGATTTACGACCAGCAAGAATGTGTCAGCAGTCACGCCAAAGTCATAGGTGCCGAGTGAACCGAAAGATCAAAAGCAAAGGGGGCTGTGAAGCACTGCGTGGCAAGATGCAGCAGGGCGAGTGAGGTCCCTGACGGGTAACCCGGCAACAGCCTGCGCTTCTGGATGCAGACGCAGTCACGGAAGCACAGCCTCAGACTGACTGGACCACAGAAAGGTCAGAGTGACAGCAGCACGGACAAAATCAGAGGGTGGGCAGATGGGCAGCAGGAGCCACAGCTGTGACTGCGGAGGACTACGACAGCCGTGAGCCAGGGCTACTGGCTGCTCGATGTCAGCACGCAGCGGCTGCTCACAGCCCCGTCTGCTCAGGCCCGCGGCTCTGCACACACAAGGGCAGCTCTGGAGGGGAGCTCACACCTTTGGCTGTGTTTGTGCAGCAAGTGTAGAGTCCACAAGGTTTAGCCAAAGACCCTACCTTTCTTATTTATGCCCAGAAGATAAAAGACCAGACTGACCCCAAGGGCGAAATGGAAGATCAGTGCATAGTTATTTATGACAAGCTCAGAAAAAATACTTCCAGCCTTTGGCCTTCTAGCTTTCATTTACTTACGGTTACCTTCACAGTATGAAATTCTCATCTATTGAGAAGAGACAAAGTAAACATTTATTTCTGTCCCCTGAGAAATGCAGGACAAGAAGTTGGGGCGGTGTGACAGACTGAAGACAGACGCGATAAGCTGGGATGGAAGTGCCCTGCCATGCTGCTGGCTATTGCAGCAGGCCTCCCCCTGATTATCTGAGCCATCCCTGTCTCGGGGAGCAGACCTGGGCACTATCCCTCTTTCAGAACTCGGGAGGAGGCCAGTCCTCTGTGTGGTGAAAAGTCTCTATCAGAACAAATCGGCCTCTATGGCACAGTGCTCAGAGACCACAGTCTAGACCCCTACACTCCCTTCAGGCAAAGTCCCAGGTTTAAAAGGGACCTAAAAATGCAACGTACATATAGATAGAGACTCTAAGCTGGGATTTTTTGCTTATGTGTTTCCTTCTTGTATTTCTATTAGGATTCTTCCTGAAACAGTTGGGTACATTCAGTTATTCTGGGGGTCACATTTCCATGGATTAACACTGACTTGAAGGACATGATACATTTAGGAAAACTACCAGCTTTTAAGACCCTAGAGCACGGGCATTTTTGCAGAGCAAGTTTCAGGTCCAACAATTGTGTTGCCATGGAAATAGATACTCCAACCTCAACTACTGGTTGCATGTTAAAGGAATTTTAACATATGAAGGCAACATTTACGAATGAAAAATGAAGCAGCAGGTTAAAAAGAAAAGACCTACGAGAGAGGAAATGAAGTTCAAATCCTATTACCTTCTCTTCCATCTCACCCCCAGCTCCAGGGAGATTCAGAGGACTTGGAGAACTCGGTGTATCACTGGACTGGAACAACAGAGGAGGCACCCAAGTCAGACGCTGGAACAGGAAGTTCTTGGGCAAATAACGAGAGGCAACCTGTGCCTGGGCAGGGCCACCCCTCCTCCATCAGGGGTGTGTCTGACCCCCAAGAGCTGTGGTGGGTACTCTGCTGACAAGGACTAGCTGAGGTGCAGAGGGCTGAGGTCCTCTTCTCTGAGGTTAGTGCATTTCCCACCTGCGTGGCCCACATGTCAGGCCTGGGCTCTCTCCACAGCCTGAAAGAAGCTAAGGGCCACTCATTCGCCATGTGACCCAAGGAATAGGGCTGTGCCACACACACATGGCTCCAGCTTGGATCTCTGGCCTGGCTGGCATCTTCCACTCCTTACCTGCCAGAACTGTCCCCTCTGTGCAAGGGGTGAGAGGACACAAGGCCCTTCCAGTTTCACATACAAAGGGCTGCACCGAGATGGGAGTGGGGAGGGAGCAAAATCACAGGCAGGAAGGGAAAAAGAAAGCCTAGTGACTCACCCCAGGTACCAGGTATGCTCCGGGCACACCCCAGCTGAGCGTCCCACCTTCCCGAGGACCCTCCCTAGTGCTCTAACTACCAACTCATGTCACCATTTTTTAAAGATCTTCTCTTCCAGAGCACTGTCAGCTGGCCCTGCCTGTCCATTCTCTGTACCGTACTCAGAAAGAAAACACAGGCCAGGGATTTAGCTCAGCGGCCTAAGTGCCTGCCTAGCAAGTGCAAGGTCATGAGTTCGATCCCTGGTACCAAAAAACAAAACAAAAAAAAGCCTGCCTGCTAAGAAAGAAAACAGGTATCAGATTATGATAGCACCCTGCTAGAATTACTCAGAGGCAACCCACTCCTGCAGCACGGAAGTCCCATACAGTCCCCCTTTCCCCATGGTCTGTACATCTGTCTCAGGGCCAGCCTCCCTATCCCGCCACACTGCCTGCTTCCTGGTCTGCTTTCGGGACAAGCTCAGTCCCATTGGGACCTCTGCTGTGGCTGACTCACCTGGACCATTTTTTAGGGCTATTTTAGCTCTGCTCTCAACCACACACCTAATGACACAATCTCCCTGTTACTCACTTTTTTTTTTTTTTCTTCCCATTACTCACTTTCAAATCACCCTGTTTTGTTTTCCATGCAGCCAGTATTTTTCTGGATCTAAACTGTTTATCTGTCTGTTGTCCACTACTCATTAGGATGCAAACTGCATGGAGGCATCCCCTGGGCTAATATTGCTCATCTCCTGACAGCCACATCTGAGTCAAGGTCTGCTACACAGAGCCTCCCTCTCTCTGAGGCCACGGGGCGCGCTCTGAGCAGCTCGCAGTGACTAAGTCGCTGCTTTTGGGCTTACATGTTGTCTGGCGTCAGAGAGACTGAGGACAGCAGTTTTGGGCAGATCGGGAGGACCGGGTCTTACCCGTTTCACCCGCACTCAGAGGGTGCTAATGCGTGTGGATGCAGGGGCGTCAGTCAGGGCCAGGCAGCAGGGGCCCCTGGTGGCGCATCCTTCTTCTCTTCCCTTCTGCATTTTCCTCTGCACATCACTTATCTTTCCTAATCATGATAACTGACATACTCTTCTCCATTTTAATGCCAACCACCCTGATCATAGGTACCTTACTAGGCAGGACTGAGAAAATACATTTTTCCTCTTTAAAAATATCTGAAGCCCCATCCCTCACCTACAGAATCCCGACTCTGGCCAGTGGTAGGACTTCTGCTCCCTTCCCAGCAGGGGTGTAAGGGCTTCCCTCAATTCAGGATGTGCAGTCTCCTCTCTAGTTAGTCAGCGGGCCGAAAGTAGACAGTGTGGTGTGAACATGACTTTCTTTCCACACTCAGGGGACTTCAAGCTAGCCCATGTGCTATGTTCTGTCTCACAGAGCTCCTGCTGCTTTCTCTTCTCATTTGTCTTTAAATTAGTCCAGCGTGACAAGTAATTATTCAGTGCTACTAAGCGGGCAGTCAGTCAGTCCCGGGAAGATGTGGATGTGGAAGACGCAGTTTGCCTGCAGGGAAGTCGAGGGGAGGACACAGCTACAGGGACAGAGAAGCAGATGCGCGTGGGGCCCATGCGGGAAAGACTTACAGCCAAGGCAGGGAGAACACAACACAGCCCCTCGGTAAGGCCAGGCAGGGCTTTGCACGCCGGGCACGACCTGTGTGGGAGGCGCCAGGCAGCACAAGCATGCCCTCTTCAGCTCCTTCTCGTTGGCCCTAGGAGTGGCACCTGCCCAGGAAGTGCCCTCCAGCCCTGAGCGTCTCCCACTTGGTTGCTCCTATGCAGACCACAGGGTCATCAGGTGCCCGATCCGCTGCCCAATATCCCGCCCTGCTTCTGAGCAATTCCGTCTCCCCTGCCAGAAACTTACTTTGTTCTCAGTGTCTGAGAGGACAATGTCCTGCTGGGTCACAATTTCCATGGGGCTGGTCAGGAACAGGTCCTCTTCCGAGCTGGCGTCTCCACTGCCTGCCTTCTTCATGGGAATGGCGTTGGGTGGCTTCTGCCCAAACTTGATATTCTTGCCCAGATGTCGCTGGAGAGAAACAAAAGAAAGACATTTCTGAAGCAGTGAAGCGATCTCCGAAACCACAACCAGGTTTCCGGCATATCTAAGGAGCACCGAGCCATAGGCTAAAAGCACGGCTGTCTCGGGAGGCGACGCACCGGGCACACAGTGCGCTCGCTCCCACAGTGCGTTCACTTTCTTCTGGCCTCTTCCCTTCCCCACTTCAAGCCACGAGCTTTTCATCCAGCCACTCCTGGGGAAGGGCCCAACTTTTACTAATGGGTAAAGGGATCCCCTTTCTGAACCAAAAGTTGGCATATGCATTTTTGATTTTTAATCTATAAATCTAAAGAAATCTATTAAAAGTATAAAGGTTATACAGAGGGCAGCTGTATCAAATGTAGGAACCACTGGGGAAATCAAAATTCTTCTTTTTTTTGTACTGGCCCTTAAACTCGCAATTTTGTGCTTGCTAGGCAGTCACTGTGCTGCCGAGCTATAGCCCTGACCTCCTGTGACCCTTCTGGCTTGCTGTCCCATGCCAGATTCTCATGCTGTGGTCAAGTCATTAAGGTGCAGAATGCCACGAGGGCTGCAAGGGCCTGTGAGTCCCTGCTTGGCTTTGAAATCATACAGGGATGAGAACAATCCAGCGTTCTCTGCCTTGCTGCAAGCGCACACTGTGAAACAGGGGCCTGGAGGGACGGGGGCAGAAAAGGACCCAAGGACGGGCTGATTAGTGGTCGGTAGTAGCTAGAGAGATAAGGATAAGGAACCAAGAAACAGGGGCAGAAGTAGGAAGGTGAATAGTATTTGGAAGTAGATAAGGGGCACGTTAGAAAAGGACACATGGGTCCAGACGCTGCCCAGTGTCCCCTGGCAGGCTGTGCCCACCGCTTTAGGTGGGTGCTTTATTTGGGTCTAATTGTCCTCATATGTCCTCAAAACAGATCTCTGATATTTGTCATTAATCTGGCTAATATTTAACCCCACAGGACTCCGAAATCACTTATTCCAACCCTTTCACTTTGCAAACAAGCTTGGAAGTGCAGCAGCAGAGAGGTGACAGTGGGATCCTTGTGGGAAGAGTCCCTGACCGCAGAGGAGCGTGGGCCCAGCCCTCCTGAAGGCGGCGCACTGCTCTGCTGCGCCCCTCTGACGCTGTACTGCCTAGCTGCAGGCGATTACAATTACGGAGAGTGATGGTGCAGCATTTCTGATACTTTTCTCAGGCTCCCTGACAGAAGAACCCCTTGGGGCAAATGCCCTGTCTCCCACCCACTTGTGCCCGGCTTCCCCCATCCTGGCCTGGGGAGCAGTTTGACTGCACACACATGGCAGAGGCGAGCGAGCCTGCCCTCCCAGCACCCTCCCCAGACCCCACATGCCAAGGGCTCCCAGGCCCTTGGGAAAGCTGCACATCCAAAGCCTGAGAGAAATTCAGCCAGGGAGGGAAGGGCAGCGTGAGAGGGTTGCGGGGATCAGAAGGCTGAGAAAGGGCGTCTCCCAAAACAAGTCCAGCAGGAAGCAGCAGTTAGTATCTAGTCTACACAGTCCAATAAGCAGGCACAGTTAGGACAGCCAAGGAGTTAGACGACAGGACATGGAGTTACAAAGCTGCCCTAGGGAAGGGGTGGGAACCTGGGCTGAGGACAAGGGAAAGGTTCCTGTGTCCTCCCCGGCCAGCTTTCCCTGGGCGCTGGTGGAGAGCCAGAAACTGTGCTAGACCCCGTCCACCGTGGACACTTTGTGTTGGCAGGGTCTGCTGCTTGCCAATGCTCTGAGTGCCTGAGATCAGCGTGGTTTTTTAAGATTAATACAAAATAATTGCCCATATCATGGAGGACAGTGTGGTATGCATTTATACACGTAGTGTATACAATGCATAATGATCAAATTAGAATAACTGGTATACCCATCACCTCAACCAGTCATCATTCTGTTGTGTTGGGAACACTCAGAATTCTCTTTTCTAAGAATAAATTATTGTTAAGCACAGTAATCCTCTGTGCTAGAATGCTGGAACTTATTCCTTCTTCTAGTCGTAATGTGCCCATTAAATGAGGACTTTGCCACCACTGCAAAAAGAAATCTCATTGCATACTATGCTAATATTCCACTTTATCAGGCCCCTTTTGGAATACTGATGTTGGTCTGTTCTAATTCTTAAGAGACAAAAAGAATGTGGCAAAATGCAATCACAGTCTAGACTGCAATAAAGTCCAGACAGGATAACAACTGTGGCCACGAAAAAATAGAACAATGTGTGGCATGGGACAGTGAGGGAGAGCTACAGCAGCAGAGGGAGAGGAAGGTGCCAAGGACAGGGGCTGGGAGGAGGAGGGGCATGAAGGGCCCGGAAGAGTTCGGGCCTCAAGGGCCTTTGGAAGAGCGGGGGACCCTGGGGACAGAGGGCCCAGAGGAGGGAAGCGGGCTGGAGGGAATGGGAGCGTGAGCGTGCGGTGAAGGGTTAAGTTATCTCACAGACAGACATGTTCCTCCTGGCAGTACTGGGCAATTCTGAGCAGTGCTGCTGTTGCCTTTCACAGTGAAAACATTCCTCTCGGGGCAGAAGCTGATCTGAAATCTCCCCAGCGAAAGGGATGTGGGCAGGCGGCGGAAGAGTTTAGGAGAGGCCTCTGGAGTAGGGAGCAGCGGCTGAGCTAGGAGCTGGGAAGGCGGGGTCCAGACAAGCCTGGGCTCAGACTCACAGCCTGCAGGCAAGTCCAGCCACCTTGCGGTACCCACGGGAAGGGCCTCATGCCTACACAGCTTCCTAAAGCCCTCTGCACACGCCTCCCTGCGGCTGCCTCAGTGCAGCTGGGCTCTTGTGGCATTTGGTGAGATGTCGTAACAATTACAAGGTTACAGCTAAAACCTACTTGATGACCTCAGGTGTCACGTGAATTGACTATGTGGCTATGTGTGGCTTTTTTGTTACTTTAATTTGCCCACTAATCAGGTACTGTCACGACAGACTCTATGATCTAAGTGCGCACTCACCGAAAACCAGACTGATAGGATGAGGTGGACCTTAAGTCCAGAGAGGTAAAATACACTGTCTCTCACTTAAAAACGAATACCTGCGAGCTCTGTCCTCATCCGCTGCAGTTATGCTAGAGGTGAGAGAGCAGTCCTGCGCCCATACTGCTGGTCTCTTTTGCTGGTGGCTGTGAATGGAGTTACTGTTGGAAGAGGAATGTGAACTAAAAGGAGCTATATTTTACTCATTCAAATCAGGCCATTCTGTCACAATATGGAACGCTAGAGAGCGATGTTACAGGAATGCATATCCATATTTATGAGGCTTGTTCCCACGGTGTGGAAATGCCAAGCACATCACATTCTGTAGCTCTCTCCTTGCCAGTGTTTAGAATTTCCCAGATTTTTTCACAGACATTCTTCAAATTATGTCTATGAGAGCAAAGCAGAGCAAAAGTAAAGTTGCTGTCTTCCTGAGCAAACTATCTGTTCTCCTTATTAAAGTGAATTTTAAGGGGAAAAAAGCATACCGATGTGAGACACCTGCGGTAAAAAGTGGCTAAGAGCAGGTGTTTACTCTTTGTGTCCTTGACAGTTGCATTAATGTCAAAACCCTCGTTTGTATGATTTTGGTATTATTAAGTGCAATTCAGGTTAGTGGTAGACATTAGCAACTGGGCATGGAGGTTTCCCTCTTATCTCCAATATCTGTGGTACAAATAAACTAATCACTGCCCCCTAAAAAAGTGTGGGAAAATTCTAAAAATCACCTGGGGCTTAGGTTGTGATATCCCCAAGCTTTATCATTACCTGCTATGTACCTCACAGCCCGGTTTAATCTGAAACGATCAGGCTCCCGCCATAAGCCGTGTTTCTGGGAAGCTGTGGATAATGTCAAGGTCATGGCTGTCCAAATGCAGTGACATGCAAAGCCCTACAGCCACCCTGGCTGATGGCAGGTAAATGCTGGTTCCTCCAGATTGCAGGAACTGGAGGGACCTTACAACCACTCATCTCATGCCCTTCCTTCATTGTTCAGGCAGGTAAACTGAGTGTGAGAGAGGTTAAATGATTTCACCAGAGGCTCCAATGCCACTTTTCATTTCACTGCATTCGCATTCGTTCAAATGCTGTTCATCCACTGGCCACACAGCAGCTGCTCTTTATGTGCAGTCTTCCAAAAGCACACCACTGTCATGTTCCTTGCGGTAACTGTCCTGTTAAAATTTGTTCTCAACATGCACATTATTTTTACACTGAGGAAAATATGCAATTTTTCTTTTAAAAAGTTTAATCACTTGCCACAGATATTTTGGTAGGTGGTAGAGTCCCGTTATTCAGGAAAGGGCAGGCTGATGTGCACTGCACCTGAGTTGTTCTGTACTCAGTGGAGAGCTGCTCACAGCAGCAGGTGCACTGTTATGATGGTTCTAGGTGAGAAGACAACATGTAGACACTAGAGGGCGACCTTTTCTAATGTATTAATACAGCCGCCCTTGGTTCCCGAGGGCTTCAAGGGCTGGGCAGTCCCTCCCCCGCTTTTTAATGGCACTCTAGTAGAAATCTCATTTCAAAAGAATGCCTTAAAAATGGTGGTTAATTAGATTCTAGGACATTTACTATTGGAATAGGTGTTATTGTCTTTTGAAAAATGAACATAAACAAATACACAAAGACAATTCCAGACGTAAAAACATACATGCCTCTAACACAGCTGAACTCTATCATTCCATGCTGGAGTCTATGAGGGGGCGGTCTCTTGTGCTGCTTACTAAGCATTACCACCAGCATAACGTTGTCATGAAAAAATGCAAAGCATTCATGCAAGTTAATAAAGTTACTACTGTTTCTCCGACTTACCAGGAACATACTGCTTAGTCGACTGAAAAATAAAGCACAGTCTTTTGGGGGTGATACAGTTATATCTCAGGTCAATCCAAAATTACATTTCCTAAGATCATGGTCCCTGTTTCCCTCCTTGAAGCACAAAGCCTTCTATATATTTAAAAATATCGTTACAGAGCTGAAAGAAAGCTTGAGAATTTATACAGCAAAGGTAAAATTAGGTAGACTTGGTATAAATACATATTGTCAGATTAAATAGTCAAGCGCTCAAATAGTTACACTGCTTTACTCACATTTTTCTTGGGTTAACAGAATTGTCGCTTCAGGGAAGTTGGTCATTTTATATTTTATTAATGAGATCAGATTATGTAAAATACCTTACTGTTAGCAGAAATCAGAAACACATTTTATAGTATTTCTATATTTTCAATACTGCATGCACAATGACATTTTGTTTAATTCCCAATTCACTTCTTGAGTTGACAGCAGCGTGTGGTATGATGTTACACAGAAGATATCATTTAAGAAAACAGGCCTTTACCCATTTTTTAAAAGAAGTTCTAGATTGCAAATATGGCTGTTTCATGGGTGGAATTCTGCATGTTGTCCCTCATAGAAAGGGATACGCTGAGCTGGAATTTGGGACCTATTGAGAATAACGTTCAAGGAATCAAAAGACTGAGAGGAAGAGATAGGTAAAGATTTCCCCTACCTCCCTCTTCCCCAAACTCTGACAGGTGACAGCTTCTTTGTCTTTTTTTTTTTTTTTTTTTTTTTTTCCAAAGTCTAGAAACCATGTAAGAGCTCAGCCGGCTATGAGAGTGCCACCTGTAGAAAGTGCAGGCATCTGAAGGACCGGCCTGGGCTGCCCCTGAGGGGCTCTGTCCTTGGCACTGGCATAAAGGTTTAGGCTTGATTCCAGGGTGTTGGCTACTTCCCTGTTGCTACTTTCAGCTCAGCTTGTGTGGAAATGTGACCAAATGCTGGTCACAGAGTGCACAGTGTATGTTCAGTAGAAATAAGAACATTTCAGGAAAACAGGCAATTCTGAGTACAAAGTTTTCACTGTCTAATATTACTCAGGCCATTGTCTACTGCTATTCAGGCTAGCTGCTTTTACTCTCACTCATTCACCCATTCACTAGTGCTGACTTCAGGGACTCAGCATCTCTGAGCCCTCTATTCAAGATCTAGGCAGCCACCACGCAGCCGTCTCAGAGCAGCACCTGCTTAGACAGGGCTCAAGGTGAGGGAATTCTTCCAAGCAAGGAGGGCGGACCTACATAGACAGACCGAGTCTCTCTGCTTTCCTTGATCTTTCCTGGAGTTCCTGGTATTTCAGTCACATTCAGTTAGGAATTATTTTATTGTATTTGCATTGCTAGGGAGTCACCCCCTGAGTCAACATGAGTCAGGAAAACAGGCCCTTCTGCAGTGTGCACACGAGGGAATTTGCAGCGTCTTCTGACGCCGCGGCAGGGAAACCAGATCTATAAACACAGCAGAAAACAGTGTCACCAGTCACTGTGCAGTGACGGGGACTTGACAGTGAATGTATACTGTGCAGATTCAGTGGTGGCAGCCTTTGGCTGCAGGGCTGACTTAATAGTCAGGAACTCTTTCTCCGCACCCAAACCCTCCACTTATGCACACTGTTCTCGTGTCCAGCTAGAGAGCAGGGAACAACTGGAGGGGAAAGAGGAGGTGCCACGCAGGTGGTATGGTGTGATGATACGCCTTGCAAAGGGGTTCCAGGGGTCAGAGTCAGGCTCAGGAAGGCAGAGCTTCTCACCAGGAGCGAGCCCTGGACCTTCCTATCCATCAACCAAGGCTGAGCTGGGGACTTCTCCACTTCTGCCCACAGCAGGGCCCATCCTCTGGTTCTGACCTTCCAGGCTCACGCTGTCTTACCTGAAGAGTTTTGACTTTGCCCAGGATGTTGTCCTGTGACATTGCTTGAACTGTCTGCTCACTTTCTGCTCCCCCATCAGGGATAAAAATACTGTCATGGGAAAGCGCCCGAGTTCCCATAGAATAGTTGAAGGACCTGGAATGCAAATCATGTGCTTCATTTTATTAGGATGATAAAAATTTTTTTGGCAATTCAGCTTGCTGTTCCCCTGACTTGAGGGACTCCACCCACATTCCCTGTGTTGTTCAGAAAGCACAACAATCAGCACTCTGGCCCTTCCTGCTGTGAGTCAGCCAAGGAACTGGGGAGATGAAATGGCTCCCAGTGTAGGGGGCAAGATTCTTGCACAACCTGGGTTCAGAGCCACTGCAGAACTTATTTGGAGGAGCCTTTCCCAACTGAGCACTATCAGGTTTTCCAGTTAGTCTCACTAACCAGCATTGGTCAAGTAACAAGCAGATCCGGAAGTAAGAGGCAAGAACTTCGTTCATATTACAATAACCCTGGAAGAAAGATACACATCTAGCAGGGTGTGGTGGTTCACTCAGGAAGCTGAGGTAGGAGGATCACCATGAATTCGAGGCCTGGGCTACAAAGTGAGTTCAAGGCCAGCCTGAACCTCATAGTGAGACTCTGTCTCAACAAGACAAAAAAGAAATAAACAAACAAACAAAAAGGAAAAGAAAGAAAGATGCACTTCTAAAACAGAGACTGTGGATGTGGAAGAGGCCTAGAAAGGCAGAGAGGGATGATCAATGCTTGAGGATTTCAGAGCAAGGGGGGAAATTTGTGTTGGGATTATTCTGACTGGCTTTATACAGACTGGACACCTTATAGGTGCTGGTACCCAACTGTTATGGTTTGATGTAGTTTGAGAGGGTTCCTCAAGGGTTTCTGTGTTGGAAGTATGGTCTTCATTGTGGTGACACTAAGAGATGATAAAACCTTTAAGAGGTGAGATGTAAGTCATTCAGGGTGCTGCTCTCTGAAGGACTTAATTATGTTCTCATGGAACCCTGCTGGTTCTCCCAAGAGTTGTTGTAGAAGAGCAAGCCTGATACACCACCCATCACACTCTGGCTTCCCTTCTTGCCATGAGCTCTCTCTCTTGCACACATCCTGCTATGATGGCATCCACCAAGGTGGGATATAGTCAGGGAGCACTACAAGAGCTGGCACCATGCAATTTGGACTTTCAGTCTCCAAAACTGTGAGCTAAATAAATTCCACTATTTATGTTTCAGCCTCAGGTACTTTGTTATAGCAACTGGAAACAGACTAATGCACTAATAGATACTTTTTAGTTAAAAGTTAGACTTCTGCCTGACATGAGTACTAGCAGTATGAATGCAGGAAGAGGAAGCCACAGAGGCAAAATCTACCTTACTTGGCATTCAAAACTAAGTTATCCCTGAGAAAGAACATGACAGAGACTGCCAGCTCCTCACAGAAGGTTTTCTCAGATGAGAGAATGGCACATGAGAGGCCAGTCAGCCCTAGAGAGAGGCATTTCTGTCAGGAGCCTCTGCCCAGATTATAGGACATAGCATGCAGGGTGCTGGGCAGCTGTGTTGCTATCTGCCCAAAGCTAGACCGACTTGGAAGAATGACTAACAAATTATGTCATTTAATTTACTGAAGGCAAGAAGAATGGTAAACAGGGCCTTTCAGGCTTAGAAATGAAGGATAGGAGGTGAGCTTCCTGGGTGTGTGACGTTAGGCAATAGCAACAACATCCAACCTTTAGTTTGATGAAAATTTTGTTTGAAGAGTTTTACTTTCATTATCTGCTTTAATCGTCACCACCACCATCTTGTTATAGATGAAACTTGGGATAAATAACCTTATCTAAAGCCATTCAAGTTGAAGAGGCAGAATGAGGAATCAAACTCAGACCTCTTGAATACAATCTTGTGCCATCCAGGTGACATGTCTCAAAGTATGGAAAACTTTCAGAGTTCCATCAGCTGAGGACAGTGTACAGGAGAGGAAGGCAGGGTGCAAATACCACGTGGGCTGGTATGGGGGAGGGTTGAAGATATTAAGTAGCTAGGAGAATGGTTAAGCCTTCAGATAAATACAGGATACTTGGGATGCTTATGTGCTAGGCACTGTTACTAAACCTATTCTACAGGTAAGAAACTAAGGTCTTAACAAGTAACTTGTCAAGGGGCTATCTACATGGGAATCTGACCCAGGTCTCTGTCACTTTATCTACCTGTTTTGACAGCAATAACCCAGTACTATTTTAATTCTTATAGCTCATCTATAGTTTAAGTTTTTCAGCACTGGTTTTTTCCCCTAAGATGGCTAGCCTGTCTCTGCATTTCTACATAAATTTATATACACACACATTCCACATACATACTCTGGAGATTACTTTTTGGGATCCTATTAGACCAATATAATAGGATCACATTAATAGGATCACATGGGACTGATGTCTATACAATACTGAACATTTTAATCCACAAACATGGAGAATCTCTGTGTATTTAGATCACCTTTACTTTCTTTCAGTAACATTTCAGTAGTTTTCTTATAGTGGTCTTATACATAATTTAGTAAACTTATTCATATATATTCTGCAGTTTTGAATTTTTGTAAATGGTACAGGTTAAATTTTTATTTTCTCATTTTTATTAGTGGAATATAAAATACAACTATTTTTATAATCTGGTCTTACAATCTGAAATGCTGCTAGATTTACTAGCTATAATCATATGGCTGCTAATTTTTTAAAAATTTTCTATGTATGTAGTCAAGTTGTCAGCAACAAAAAATCATTTCATTTCCTCCTTTTTCAATACTTTATCTATTTTCCTTTTTTCCATATGGAATTAGTTACAATCTTCATTCAAAATGGAAGAGAAATGGTGATGGTGATGGTGAACATTGTAATGTGCCCCAACTCAAGAGAAAACATTCACTATTTCATCAAGTATAATGTTAGCTATAGAATTTTGTAGATCTGCTTGAATCACTGCTTCTTTGAAAAGACACATGACTTGTCTTTTATTTATAGATTAAAATTTATCTCATTATATTTAGTTTCCAGCAATTTTACTCTAACAAGGCTAGGTGAACTTCTTTGAATTTCCCCAGTTTGGGATACACAGCACTTCTTAAATCTGAGGTTAAATCTTTCATTGGATTTGGAAAATTCTCAGTATTTTGGAAATACTGTTTCTGGCTATTTTCCCACTAATCTTTTTCTGATTTTTCCAATGTTAGGATCTTTCAACAAGAGGCATTTTTCTTTTATTTTCTTTTCTGTATCATTCTTTTTATTCAGAGTAGATTTTAGTAGATTTTTTAAAAATCTTTTTTGGTCTTCTGAGAAGGGTGTTACATTATGTAGCTCAGGTTAGCCTTGAACTCACTGTGAGTCCAGGCTGGCCTTGAATTTCTGGCAATCTTCTGGACTTAGTCTTCCAGTGCTGGGATTATAGTCATGTGGCACCATATCCAGACCCAGAGTAGAATTTTGTAAGGAACTATCTTCTAGTAAATTCTGTTTTCTGCTTTGTCCAATTTTATATTAAAATCATCTATGGAGTTCTTAATTTTAGGTTTCAGTATCTCTAATTTCCACTTATGTATTTTTAGTGGATTACAGTTATCCAATAAAAATTTCCATTTTATCAACTAATTTCTTGAAGCATACTAATCAGTTATTTAAAAGTCTCTGAGGCCGGCAGAAGCCATGAGAGTCCCAAGAGGAGAAACAAGAAGCCGATTTACTCTTCCTGTGAGCCAACTGGTGCACAGGCTGGGAGATAAGATACTTCACTCTACCTCTCACCCCATAAGTAACCAACTGATTAGGAGAAACACAGGCTGACTGGTTAGCAACTGAGGTATAAAAACAGCTTAATGGTTACATTGTTTGATTGATTTTTCATGCTTAAAGCCATTAGTCTGAGCATCTACTAAGAGGTTAACAGTAGGCAATATGGTAAATATGGGTGATTTCCTTCTGTCTTGTTTTTGAAATACAATGTTGTGCTCACATTTTGCTTTGTTTTATTATTTTGTTTTATTCAATGTTCCATTTTGACTGGTTTTATTCTGATCAGTTTTGTTTGATTTTATCATGTCTGATGGTATGGAAAACAACTTTAAAGATAACAAGAAGCATTACCCGTAGCATTGTTGATTTCCTATTATCTCGGTTTGAAATCCTGTATCACTTTCATTGCTTTGGTTGGCTTTATTCTGTTTTTGTTTTTATTCTCTTTAAAATAAAATAAAAAATAAAAGTCTCTGAAACTTAGTCACCTTTGGGTCTATTTCTGTTCTCTTGTCATGCTCATAGTCAGTTTCCTGGGTGTTCGGTGGTGTTTTACTGAATTTCACATATTGTGAATGGAAAAGGTGACAGGTGGGGTTCTCTCCTTATGGAGAACAAATAGCAAGAGATCACATCAGCTCAGAACAATCACAAACTGAGCTGACTGTGCCTGGTTAGCTATTTTGTTTATTTAGAGGGATATTAAGAATTTAATCCAGAGACTTTGTACTGGGAACTGTTTTGAGATATGTTCTATGTAGCTCAGGCTGGCCTCAAATTCACAGCAGTCCTCCTGCCTCAGCCTTCTAAGTGCTAGGACTACAGGTGCCTTTCTTGTTTCTTGAGAGAGTTTTGCTAAGTCATTAAATCATCCAGGTGGGGCTTGAAGGCTCCCATGGTAAGTACTTTGTAGAGACTGCTGGCGGGCTAGTAGACTCTATAAGGCTCAGACTACTGTTGTTGTATGTCTACTTCTAAGGTATATAGAGCACTATATTATTTCCTAGGGTTCCACTATTTAGCAGGTCCTGAGCCCAATCTTTGTTTTTCCAGCGCTACAGACTGCCAAACTCTGTTCTGTTTAGTCTCTTTCTCTGCAGCTTTAGCACCAAAGACCTCAAATGGACATCCTCTGTCTCGATTTGGCTTTGTGTTTCTGAGCATCTCATCTCTTGGGGATCTTAATCCCTCAAGTTCAGGTTACTGTGGCAACCTCAGCTTCCAACTGGTGATTTCCAGTCCCATGAGGCTGCAGACAGCCCAGCTGCCTACTCTTCCAGTGGTTATCAGCTCCCCTCAGCTTTCTAACCTCTTGTCCTGCACCTGAAGTCAACTATTGGCC